CCAAAGCTGTGACACTATTTAGGTCGCTAGAAAGAAAGAAGAAGAAAAAGAAAGGCGAGAATTAAATTTAGGTGATAATGTGGCAACATGCATACCTGACGAGCTGAGATAAATATTCATAGATATATGATTTGTTTTTTACGGTTTATCAACCATTTAATAATTATTTAAGGCCGAAAAATATTTTGGGTTTTAAGAACAATTCTTTCTTTACATTCAAGCGATCTGGAAGAAAGAAAGAGAAAACGAAGAAGAAAGAAAGAAAAAATAATACGAAAACAGGTCATAGGCGAGCACACACACGCAGATAACAGGTGTCGAAAAATCCACGGGTCAAGCATCTGACCGATTTCCGCGGAATCCACGAAAAATGGAAGTTGTTATCAATTGGTTGTCACCCAAGAGGAAAAGAAGAAACGAAGTTTAGGGACAATGAAAATATTGATAAGTACCAAGGGAAGTGTGTCATTGGAATGATAGTAAAGGTCTAAGTGGGTGGGGAAGTGTATCTAAGGATATGAAGACAAACCATTAATACGAAAACACAGACCGTCTCTAGAATTAGAAAAAGCCCACACAAAGTGGTCACTGCAAAATTTTTTTGAGATAATAAAGATTTTTATTATCAGACCTTCGAGCGGAGGAAAATTGAAATATTTTTATTCCGTTTCAGAAACGCCAATGAGTCTGAGAAATTCCTTTCTTAGATCATATCCAATTAGCGATAAACTGCTTGACAAATACCACGTGTTGGAAAGCCAAGAGTGTCATCTCAGTCGCTCATGATAAGGGCGATTTGAATTAATATTTTTGTTTTTTAAGCAAGGTATCTCTTTCCCAAAACAAAGCCACGGACTAAAGACGTCATTGGCTAAATAAGATCACATGACACACGAAGGAGGAGGAAAGATACTCGACCAGGACCTCATTGGCCGAGAGCGGTCACGTGACGCACGAGGAGAATCGGTCGACGCCCCTGTCAGAAGTGTAAGTGTAAGGAGCCGATACGAAGAAGCGGGGAAGCGGATACACGCCCCTCAGAGGCACAGTAAGTGAGTGGGAGTGAGAGTGAGTTACCGAAAATGGAAAAGAATGAAAAATCCCTAACCAGAAATAAGAAGGGTGGATACGTATTTAGAATTATCGAAGAACCCCTGGTGCGGATAGACCCACCCCAGTTTTGACGGCGTCAATAAAAACGAAGCCCCACCAGACAGAAATCAGTTAGAGTTTCAGCCGCGGACGGCAAGCGGAGTGGAACCGCGGACGGCGGCCCGTGTTCGGTCGCCCACTTTGCGGGCAGGAGAGGCCAGTTCGTTTGGCCTAAGTGAAGAAGTTCGTCCGACCCAAGCCGAAGTGAAGAAGTTCGTCCGACCCAAGCCGAAGAGAAGAAGTTAGTTCGCGCACCGACGGCGGAGATGAGTGACCAGTAATTCAGACTCTGGAGAGAAGAAGTTTGAGTTCAGCCGCGGACGGCGAAAGAGAAGTTTTGAACCTTGGACGACAAGCAGAGATGAGCGCCCAGTGTTGAAACCGCGTCAAGATAGCTGACCAAGATTCACGCACACTTCTGGACTCTTCTTCAACCAAAAACAAGTAGTTTGAAGAGCGACTTAGAATCAGACCACAGAAATGTTTTTTTTTCGACTTTCGTCCAAAGACACACCGAAACACAAATTTCTTAGAGAGCAGACAACTTGAAGCCTTAAAGTTGCCTAGTAAAAGCGTCGTGCCACAATCCACAGAACGGGTCGGGAAGTAGACATAGTCCAATGTACCGAGCAAATAGATATAAAAAGTTTGTTACCTTTTTCTTTGATACGTTGGACCTTGTGAGTTTTTATTTTATTTTCTTTTATACATAATTGTGTGTTATCACCCCCGTTGGACTCAACTTGCATTACGGCCCCAACCCCTGTTTGATCTCGTCTGTCTAAGATCAATTCACAACGTGGGTAGGCAGACTGGAGATCAGTGCAGTTACCCTGATAAACAGGCGTTGGAAGCGGGTTGGGAACGGCGAGGCTGGTATCAATCTAACCAAAGGGTTAGAACGTCACGTTTGGAGCAGCGAGGAGCGAACAGCTGACGCCGCGGCGAAGACGTCACAGTTGGTGCTGTCCGTGACCAGGATATCATAGCCTGGGGAGCACGTGACGTCACAATTGGCGCCGCGACCGGGATCGAACGACACAGTCGACGCTGCGACCGGGGGACGACGTCACAATAAGAAGCCATCACGAAAATGACACTAAGCGATGTTATTCTTTTTAACAAAGAAAAGTGGTAAAATTTTATTTCCATTGTCGAGAAAGTAAGATACTGGATTTAATCTGATTTATGTTACGGGGCGGCGAATAAGATATATCCAATCTGCCCATGGCAATGGTAAACATTTAAAGTTGGACAAGCGACCTCCTGCAGAATTCTCAAGAGATAAAAATTAAATATGTCATGCGCTGACCGAAAAACAAAAATGTCCGCTGACCACCATGAAGGAAAGCTTAAGCTTTTGTCTATATGCAGAATATCATTGAGAGGAGCATCTGTTTATTGTCAGGGCTGGCTATGATAGCAAAACTATTTTATCGGAACAGTTAATTAGCAACAGAATGCAAATACGTCCAGTTGACCACCCACTTGTTTGACGAAGGCCCCGGGTGATAAAGTCCAAGTGACATTTGGCTAAGATAAGAGTCCAAGGGTTTGTTGTCGGGCAGAAGGAAAGAAAGAGAAAGAAAAGAAAAAGAAAAAAAGAAAAAGGAAGATAATTTTTTTCTTTGAACAAGATTTTTTAAACCGAGGCTAGTCTGGCCACACCCACACCGCTGAGCGCCCATTGGCTGAATGGTGGCGTGAGCGTTAGGCGGAGGTAATCATGTGAAGTAGGAGGGGAGGCCTGTTGGCACCCATTGAAGGGATAGGTCTGAGATGCCACTGTGAGAGAGAGGGGAAACTCGTTGACACCCTCTGAGGGTATGATGAGATACCAATATGAGAACAGAAGAAGGTGGGAAGATGAAAGACTTCCAAAAAAGGGAAAATAATAAATTTTCCTGGCCGAAAACAAAGAAGTGGATTGTGGATTTAGAATTATCAAGGAACCTCAAAACCCGACAAGCCCACCCCGGTTTTGGTCGGCGTCCATATAAGCAGAGTCGCAGCGAGTGAAAAGCAGTTCCAGTTCCAGTTAAGTTCCAGTTCCAGTTGAGTTGGCAGTTCGAGTTAAGTTGCAGTGAGCTGAGAGCTCTGAAGATCCGCCTCGCAGATAGCTGACTTGAAAGATTCGCGCATTATCGAACTCAACTTCTAACCAAGAACAATTTATTTTTGAAGAACGACTTAGACCCACACCACTAAAACAAGTCTTACGAATATCGCGTGAAGATACACCAAGAACCAGTTTCTTAAAGAACAAACAATTTAAGATGTTAAGACTCGCCTAACAAACACAAAGTGTCACGATCCATATAGCGGGTTGGGAAGGAGATGCTGTCCTGTATTCAGAAACCAGATATAAAATATTGTTATCCTTTTTTAACACATTTGAACTTTTCGAGTTATTACTCTATTCTCTTTTACATATACTTGTGCGATATCACCCTTGTTCGAACTCTACTTGCATTACGGCCCGGCGACTGATTGATTTCGTCTACCTAAGATCAAATCACAACGTGGGTAGGTTAGACTAGAAATCAAAGCAGTTACTTCGGTAACCAGACGTTGGAGGCGAGCTGGGAACGACAAGGCTGATACGGAATCTAACCAGATTCCCATCTGAATCAGCAAAAGGTTAGAACGTCACATTTGGTGCCGTGACCAATACCAAGTCACATTGGTCGTCACACGGCCAGGCAGACGTCCCGATTGGCGCAGCTGACACCGGGGGACGTCACAACGCTTTTATCTACTGGGCCGGAGAGAATTCCAATCACCTGAAGAAAGACCGGACGTACAACGACTGAAACGTCGTGAACATGGCATTAAAGGTGAGAACAACAGTCCGAACAATGTGAATAATGTAAATCAAAAAGTAAAGTTTGACAATGTTTCATATAAGTAAAAGAAATCATGGTAATATTAATACTACTGGTACTCCTAGTGGAAATAGAAAGTAAAATTATGTCAAATACTAGTAAAAAATTAACAATGTAATTAATTATAATATCTCATCTCAGAAATATAGACTCATCATGTTGTTCATATATGTTTTCTTATATACGGGTTGCCAATCACGGCTGCAATGTCTAGTTTGTTCTGTTACTGGAGTGGGGAGATAGATCCATACATTTGTCAAGAGTATTTTGTGTGAAAGTGAATGCAACGTTTTCAACCGAAATTCGAACTCGCTTCACCCAATTCTCCTTGTGAACTTCTAACTCTCACACAGTTATGTAACTAGACAAAGGCGGCCAAAAAGGGATTATTAGACTGGAATAAGACTTCCAAAAGCTAGAATTTGCATAACGTCAATAAAAACCTGCAAGTCTCTTTAACGCTTCCTCTTGTCTTTACTGCTTCTGCAATCATTTAACTCTCTTACATCGCTGGCGTGTGCCCGAGGAAAATCCAGGCGTCAGCGAAATGCGTTCCACATGGATACAAGGAAACAAACGTTAATCAGTGCTTAAACGTTTATCTTTCCCGACGTGAAACAAAATCATTTTGGAAAATAACAGTGACTGGCGATGAAATCCACTCTAAGAATTGAAAACGAAAAACGTACGTGGCTAATTCCAGGATATAATTCCAGGATATAATTCTACATCTCAGTCAAAATAGAATTAACTTAGATATACACGATACATCTTTACTAAAGGAAGGCTTACGGTGATATCGCGCTGAAACATAGGTTCCAATTCGATCACAGAAATTAATCAATGTTGATCCTAATAGGTACTTTGATATATGGGTTTAATATATTAAATATATATTTTCGAATTTCATTTTCTGAAATTTTTTCTGAAGACGGCACTTCGGTCGTTCACTTTTCACGCCAATCACTGCTGAGGCGCACGACGCGTGTCCGGCGACGGCGAACGAAGCCTGTCGAAGAACGGGCGGCTGGCTGGCAGCCGCCCGTCCTGGCGCCGGCCTGCCTTAAGCGGTGAATGGCGGCAGACAATCATCGACAGAGAGATTTTGCGGCAGTCTGGCCGAGGCGCACAACACACATCCGGCGTCGGCGAACGAAGGCGAAGACCGACGGTCGGGTCGGACCGGCGGTCGGTTCGGGTCCCCGGCCGCCGCTGCCCCCGTCTTTCTAGCGCACCCTGAAGCCTGCCTCTCACTCGCGCCCGGCTGTTGCCTGCCTAGCTGTCTGCCTTCGGGTTGTATAATGGAGAATGGCACGAGATTGTTAATCAGAGAAACAAATTAAAAATAGATGCAGATATACTTGGGGAAGGCATGAATCCACATAATCTTACCCTACGTATGTGTTAATTTATAGGACATGTATCGGTAAATCTAAAAAAAAATCTTGCAATTTAAAAATATTTCCTGGCTTTAAATAACCTAAAAAAGAGTTGATAAGCTGTACAAAAAGAACCAATCAATAAATTACTAAGGCAACGAAGTATTTAACCAAGATTTCTTATGAAGTCTGAATTTCATTTCACAAGAACGATTCCGTTTTTGATCAAGTGCTTTTTTTTTCTTGAAATTGATAAAACCTTTCAACAGCACAGAAGCACATACACACGCGCGTGCACACAGATAAAACTCGAACGCGAACACTGCCCGGGGAAAATCTCAATCAAAACAGAATTTACTTAGATAGAAATGTTCCCTTTGCTTGTTGGGATTCACTGAGAGATCTTACCAATGACTTCTTGGTAATGTTGTTGGGATTCACTGAGAGATCTTACCAACGACTTCTTGGTAATGTTGTTGGGATTCACTGAGAGATCTTACCAACAACCTCTTGTAGGCTAAACAAATTTAGTGATGTGGTTCTAAAGCTGCCGCTTTCATGTCTCTATCGTGGGGGGTAACTTTGAAATGGATTTCAAATCTATTAATCTATGGGGGTTAATTCTTCTCATTTCACTGTCCATCACGCGAGCTCTTTACCAGTTTGTTTTGTTTTATGGGGGAGGGTACTACTGATCGGTTATTGCAAGCCCTGTTTCCACTGCTTGGTTCAGGGATTGGACACACAATTACTATGTCACCAAATTAATGAATAAACGTTTTAATCCACTAAGCTATCGTGTCGTGAGAGATTAAATAAAGAATTTCATTCAAAATTCCTTGAATGTTATCCAAATCGTTAGATATCTGAAGACCAGAAATTAGTCTGAACGTTAATAAAGTAAATGTTTACTACGTCTATTTGTGTTTGTTTTGACAAGCAAATTTGTAGCTCGTCATTTGGATCCCGCGGGTCGCTATCCCAAAACAGCTGCTATTCAGCGGCGCGGAAAATAGAGGTAACGACGTAAATATGAGCGGGAAATTCTCGCTGGTGAAGATATTTAACCAAGCAAGTTTGATGTACCTGGACTGGCTACCTCAGGCCGTAACCCCAAAAAGAGATCTCACTCAAAGTCGCGCAGATAGGTAACGACGTATATATGAGCGGGAAATTCTCGCTGGTGAAGGTATTTCGCCAAGCAAGTTTGGTCTACCTGGACTGGCTACATCAGGTAGTTATCCCTGGTATGTTCCGAAAAGGGATATATTTGTTCGAAGTAGCAAAGTGGTTGTTGACTACTGTAACAATTTATCAGGTAACCGTAATGGACAGGTCCTCGTCGTAGTGGTAGGCAATAGGCATAGCTCAATAGGCGTAGACAATAGGCGTAGTTCATGTACCTCCACATCAGTCTGTATTTATGGCTGACCATTTTCTTGTTTCTTTTGATTTCACGATATTATTGTTACTCAAATATTAATCTACGTCCAGGCTTTTTCCCTATTTCACCTTTCTTAACAGAATTACTACTCTCCTAAACAAACGTGCACAACAATATCGTGAAATCAAAAGAAAATATTTGAATCCGTCAACACAGCAATAATAACAATATCTCCACACGTGACAGTAATTAACGTAATTTTCAGTTAACAGTATGAAAAAAGCATTCTCTAAATTCTTCCAGTTGCTAAGGACATTTTGTCTTAGTTATTATTAGTTACTTTGTTTAAATAGATTCATTTCTTTTTTTGCCTTGAGAAAGTCCACATTGGACGAAAGGCGTCGGCAACTATTACAGTTTTCCTTTTGTCATTTATATATATATATATATATGTGTGTGTGTGTGTGTGTGTGTGTGTGTGTGTGTGAGACCGTAACATACCTACATAGACTCTTCCAGGACTATATAAAGTATGCGATATAACACTCTAGGAGAAGAGGAGGAAAGAGAGAGAGAGAGAGTATTCTAATACCGCAGTATCAGCCGCGTACGACTACCAATATTGGACACTAGCACATAGTAAGCTCCGCTTACACTTACACTATCTTTGTAACCTTTTTGTTTAATATATCTTTCTTACCTCTAATCCATGTTCCGTGTTTTCCTTCCGTGATCCCAACTTTGGGTCCACATCAATATATATATATATATATATATATATATGAGTGAGTTCAACCGATGTGCGCTTATTTTGTCTCATCAGGATTTTTTCTTATAAGGAATGATTGCCAAAATCGATTCCGATCAAAAGTAAGTTCTATCATTCCAATAATCAGTCAATCGATACTTGATCCTGACACACCAAGTTAATTAAATCTTACAAGCAAAATCAGAAAAAGTTATTTTTATTTTTTTTATTTTGTGTGTGTGTGTGTGTGTGTGTGTGTGTGTGTGTGTGTGTGTGTGTGTGTGTGTGTGTGTGTGATGTGGTGGTGGGTTCTTGTGGGAAGGTAGCGAACAAACCTACTTGAAGAGAATTTTTCAAATTATATTGAATTCCGTTTATTTTGGGGATTTATTTATTTATTTATTTATTTTTTTATCTGTTTTTTGTAATCTTAGCTCGATTTATTTCCGATGTAAGCGGCTTAATCAAATTTAATCAACTGCAGGTCGATTGCCAACGCAAATCTGCATTCAGATTTTCAATCAACTGTAACACATAAAAGGAGAAGGTGTTTGCCTTCTTTATAAATAAATGTTATTTAATAATGGAAGTTACTTTAATCTCAACCCGAACAAACCAACCCGCCACCAACCCATCGAAGGTAAAAACAAAAATGAAATTATTGATAATGAATCAAAATCATTATTCCTTATATTTTTCGACATTTTATTTTATATATATATATATATATATATATATATATATATATATATATATATATATATATATTGCTTACTGCTTCAGCACAAATTTAGTGTCGCGTTGTGTTTTTTAATCAGGTTTGCGTTTTTAGATGCCGACGTTTCTTGGGTTAATAGCTGTGGCTGGACGCAGAAACCATGGTGTAATCGAAAAGGGACCCCATTTTCGAAAGATCATGGACGACGAAAAACAGTTGAAGCGATTACTAAGGGTTTATTCCTGTGTATGACGATAAATTACACCCGGCAACAAGGCTGCTGATCGGGAGTTTGGAGGTATTGAGAAGCATAAAACCACTTTTTAATTTCTGTTCTTCCCAGGTCCACCCTGAACCCGGGTTAGGATCCCAGCTATGGGCAAATAGAGACTCCCCAACAAAACACTATGAAAGTATAAAAATACATTTACTAGTAAAAATAACAGCAATAAATTTTTTATATAAATAAAGACCGACAATACTTGACCAACAATGTCATATATTTAGTTGAAGCCATATAATCGTGTTCAAATTATTTAGACTCCAGCATTAAATAAATCATAGATTAGTTTGGTTTGTTTCGTTTCACGACATATCAACCTCCGTGGATTATTTAATGCCAAGAAAATTTTTATTGCTGGTAATTTTAAAAAATATGTATTGCTGGTAAAATTTCAAAAAATTTATTGCTGATATTTTTTTCTTTTCAAAAATGTGTTGTAGGTAATACTTATTTTTTTCAAAAATGTAATTTTTTTTCCTAAATATATTGCTGGTAATAATTTTTTTCAGAAAATGTATTGCTGTTAATATTTTTCAAGATGAATTGTCTCCATTTATTAAGAACTTTCAATCTGAAGAGATCAATGTGACAGTATTCACAAAATAAATTATAACCAAATATATATATATATATATATATATATATATATATATATTTAAGTTATGAAAAACTTGGTAATCCGTTTGGGTAATCCCAAGGACGATGAAATCCTGAGAGCTCAATGTCAATCGATTACATTGAGCTCTCAGGATTTCATCCCCCTTGGGATTATCCATACGGATTCAATTTTCATTTCATTTTTCGTTTTATTTTTGGAAGTGCTATCTGATAATACGGAGTCCTTTAAAAGGGCTCTGGTGAAATAAATTATTATAATGGAACCTTAAAGTGGTCTGTTTTTCTTTAATATATATAGTGCTGTTATTAATTAAACAGTGCTCAATGTAAAATAACAGAGCTATTAATATTAATAAATATACATATTATTCCTCACAGGAAGCATGACTCAAAGCTTCCTGCACAATGCAATCTTCAGGTGCGAATTAGCGAAAAAAAAATATTAATTTTTATTTAGTATTGGGAATTTGTAAAATAAGAACTATTATTTCCAAATTTAAATAATTTTTTCCCTATAGTTTTAGGTCCATCTATTTTAATATAATTTTTTTTTTGTAATAAATGCCATTAATCCCAGTTTATTTAAATATAGAAAAAAATATTTATCTCTGTTTATTTTATAAATATATAAAATAAAAATCCCGTCTATTTTAAATGCAACATATATTTTTAAAATAAAATACTGTAAACCCAGTATGATATATAGACCTTGCCAGCATTGCATTAACCATATAATTTTATATAAAATTTAAATGATGTAATGTTCACTCTCTAACCACACCTGAAGAGTGTGTTGTGTATGAAATTCCGAATCATGCTACTGGTGAACAATAATATATATATATATATATATATATATATATATATATATATTAATGCATGTTTCATTAAATAATATAGACTATTTATTTTAAGTAAGTTCCTTTCATATTGTCAGATAAGCTTAATCACATTATCGTTGAAAGACGAAAGGAAAACACCATATTGATACATGTTTAAATCCAATCTAAGCTTTCGGCTTACACAAACCACACATAAATGAAAAATTGCTGCCTAAATACACAATACATATATATATATATATATATATATATATATATATATATATATATATATATATATATATATATATATATATATATATATGAGACCATTGGAAAAATTTGTGCCTAATTCTCTTTGTTAATATAAGATTACCACACTGGTGTTTGTTTTGGTACCAATTTCTGGTGTGTTTTAGACCTTGTATTGTGAGTCAGACTTTGTTGCATGTTTATGATTTGTCCAAAATTGAATTCCCTTAATGATAGAGGATATTATGCTCGATGAATTTTACATTTCCATAGTGGCTTGACCCCAATTTGAAGGTTAAATATTTGTCCATACCTTGGTCAGGGTGGACATGGGAACACCAGCAATTAAGAGGTGGTTCCACACTCCTCAAAACCTCCTGATCGAAGGCCTTGCCGCCTGATGTAGTTTTTATAGTGAAGGAGGTCTTACACCTCTGCAGAGGTACAATCGGCGTATTCTGAAGGTACTGCCGATAGGTCGGATAACATAGAGATATGCCGCTAAACAAAATCAACCAGTCAACAGGACGGCTGCTACTAGAAAGCGAAGAATGTCAAATAGGGCCCCTCCTTAGAACGCTTACCATGGTGGACTGGTTAGCGTATAAAATGGTTCCTCTTTCGTCACCGAACGGACCCGGAATTTGCGCCAACCGCGATGAACGAGTGTTCGCTCGGAGAGGGAAGCCACGTGCCTTGAGCGACAATTAGGACAGGTTCTGCGCAAATCTCATTTTAATTTGCGCCAATCGCGATGAACGAGTGTTCGCTCGGAGAGGGAAGACTCGTGCCTTGAGCCCCAATTAAGACAGGCTCAGCGCAGATCTCATTTTAATTTGCGCCAATCGCGATGAAGGGGTGTTCGCTCGGAAAGGAAAGCCCCGTTCCCGGAGCGCCAATTAGGACAGTCTCAATGCAGTTCTCATTTTAATTTGCGCCAATCGCGATGAACTTAAAGATTGTTGAAATATAGTAGAGGGTGGTCCGAAAGTCTTGTCACTGGTAGATTATATAATTTTCTATTTCAGATGGCTGACACGAAAGTGATGGTGTTCATGCAGACCTTCTCGATATGTGACAGCGTCAATGGAAGAGAATCAACTGAATCCAGTAAAAGTGCTTTGTATTACTGTATTACTTGTTCTTCTATTGTTCTCCTTACTTTTTGGTAAAGAGGTGACAAGACATTCAAAACAGCCTGTACATTCCTTAGTTCCCAAAGTTCAAGACCTTCACGGCTAAGACACGCCATGCCACGCCCATTCAAGCGGGCCACCCTCATTCCCTTCGTATTCCGTTGGTGAGATGCAAGTTCCCCGAAAAGCAGTTTCTTCCCACGAACCGCTGTTTTGTTGAACCGACCTCCAAGGGGATGCTTCCCCGATCACTACAATCTTAACCTGTTCAAGCTTAGAGTTAACCATTATATTCTACATACACCTTCATAAAATGTAACCGTCTACCTCGAGTGACTCTTGGGCCTTGTACAAAGTGAACATTATTGAGAAAAAAATGGAACTTCTTCCTTCCACTTTGTTTAGAAAAAAATATAAATCACAACTGCCAGTTCACCCTCTTAAACGGAAATATTTTCATCGACACTGATCAAAGATAAGAATGAAGACCCGAAAATGCTTTCAGCTATCATGCCCAATAAAAAAGTCATTCTTCAGCTCCTTTAATGAGCATCATCATATATCGCTACTTAAGATCGATATATTCCTTTGCCTTCCTGAATTGTCTAAAGTTCTGAGAGGAATTGTTTTCATCATTCTGTTTTAACGATTTGCATATACCATATTTTCCGCCTTACAAGACGCACTTTTTACCTAAAAAATATCCTGAAAAGTACGTGTGCGTCTTTCAAGAGGAATGTAAGGCAACGTCCAGGCTCAAGTAAGCTTGGGCGGTTACCTAATTATCGTGACTGATAGAGACGTGGATTTGTATGTTGAGTCACTGAACTATAATATTAGCTATATATCTAACTAAGTCTTTTATATGATGTAATCTCAGTACTTAGCTGTTACAAGTATTTCCAAGACTATAAACCTTCCTGGAGTCGAGCCACAAGCTTAAACATGCTCTGTTTACTAGAAGCGACGGGAGCCTTTCTGCTCATTACTAGTATGTCATTGCCATACAAATAAAATCGGACGAGTGATTAATGTAAACAATATGTGGCGCCAGTATGTTAAGGACACATGGTGAATGTGTCGTTGTATGAGAATGACTTCTTTTTTTTTTCTAAGAAATTTCT